TATCTTACTCATCACCTACTAATTTAGTTTTCTAAAACTTTTTCATCTTCCTCTATCAGGGCAGGTGCCTGGGAATATTAAGAGTCTTTTATGTGAGTACTATGTTAGATCTCACTGGAAAAGGGATGAGAACAGCACCCTAATTGTGTCAGAATTTGACTCCCTGATAAAGCCCCTCCAATTTATGAGACAATTGCTTAACCAAGCATACTTTAAAAGTGCATCATCAAGATGCAGGCTTCTAAACTGTTGTGTAATAATAATTATATGTTACAGTAAAAATCATTAAGAAAGTTTGGGGGTAATCATTATATCACGGACTTAGTCTGGTTCCTGACCATAACATCTTGGGCAGTTTTACATGGATTCTTTAGTTATATAGCAATATAAATTAGTTCCCTTCTCACTGCTAAAAGAAAGAAAACCTAGACCAGTTTTGAAAAAAACAAAACTAATACTTCTTATGATGGCACTAGTATTTGGAAAACAGAACGTATTTTTACACATAGTTGCTTAATCCTTCCAGACTTGTAGAGGTTCTGGCTACATCTGATTGCGAGCTGAGAAAATATCTCAAGAGTTTATGTCTGTATCCTTCCTCCCTACTAGGCAGGAACTTTTATTCTATGTATTTGCAGATCCTTAAAGTAGAATTACTTTCTTTTCACCGCCACAGAGCAATTCTCTTTTATTACCCTGTCTTATTGATCTATAATCAGTGATTACCCAGCTCCAACTAGCTGTTTTGTCGACTAGTTCCCATACTCTTTCCTGTGAAGCACATTTCACAAGATCAGCAGAGGAATAGGTAATGATAACCATGTGCAATGTCAGCTTTTGGAAAGGGAGTCTTTGAGGGCTCTTCGTCAGAGGGAGACATGCAAAATGCCAAGTGGCAGTTGATTGCTCCACTGGCTACATGACTCCATGTTTACTCATTCTCACCCGTCTGTAGACCAATGACCAACAAGTGTCCCAAGTATTTTAGGCATTCAGTGAGGGATTTGGTGCAAACTACATTTCCAGTAGAGCTCAAAGGAGCTCTCATAGTAAGACTGCTGATGACTTTCACAGAAACAAAATGAATTCTTACTTTTTCATATAAGAGCTGTGAGAACAAATCCTTCTTTGCTTAGCCTTTCGATCAGGAGCGTTGCTCATTAATTTCACCATTATCGAGTTTGCAATGTAACCTTTTCTTGAAAATGTACTGAAATAATTCCTTGGTTCATCAGGGACCAAAATATATGTAAAGCTGAAGAGTGTGAAGGGACAGTAAGAGAGAGAAGTAGACGTTTGTGGTTTGAGATCTGGAAGTGCCCTTGAACACCGGGCTGGCTGAACAGCTGAAGCCAGAGCGCTTTGCTGAAGATGGTGTTAAGCTTCACCAGTGTTCACAAGGTGCTTATTAGGAAGAAAAATTCATGAGTTTATGGTTGAAATTCAATAGTAAAGAAGCTGTGAGATTGGACAGAAACTTACTAAACATCACAAATTATGCAAGCAACAAAAACAGTGTTTCTGTTTATTTCCTCATGTACAACAAAGCCTTTATATTTGGTTCTACCACATCCTAACATTGTGTGTCATTAGCAATGACAAATGACAAATAAGTTTGTGACCCTTTTCTTTTTACGTGCTGTTTGCTGCAGGAATGCCCAGACCTCAACCAGAACACCTACTTTACAACTTATGAAGAAACTGATGAGAAAGAGAGCCCTGAAATACCACAGAAAATCCTATAAAGAATGGGCACATTGCCCTCAGAAAAAGAAAGAGTCATTCATGTCTATCTGTATCTTGTTCTCAGCACACTGACCAATTTTTAAGTCAGATAGATGTGTCCTGTAGCACCCACTTCCCAACCTGTCTCTCCACGCACTAGGTCATAGCTTCAGTTTACGGAGATGGCATTCATAGTATCACAGAAAGAGTTCAGGTAGTTGTGAGGGGATTGAATCTGAACAAGCGATAGAAATCATGTGATTGTAGACTCCATAGAATAGATCCAGGCTATGTTGCAGTCAGTGAAAAGTTTTCCTGGTTTAGTCCTGAGACTAAGACACATTTATAAAGAGCGTGTAAAGGGTGAACAAGGAAGGAAAGCTAAGCACTCATTCTGGAAAGGTGTCACGGCTCATGGGGAGTTCTCTGAGTTCACTGAATCAATAAAATCTTTAATCCTCTTCTGTGAGAATTGTACATAAATACGCACTTCTTCAGCAGGTGTCGAATTCCATCCTCAAAGGGGTTTTTGGTGCAAATTGCAGAGGGACAGGCAATTTGCTAGCATGTCACTCCCGTCTGAACATAGACGCACCTACAGAAATCCTCCCTTTTTTCCTCTCTAATCTCTCTTCATCTGTGTTTCTGGATGATTTTTCGTTTTTAGTTTGATCTCTCTCCATTGCAATTTGCTACCTTACTCCTCCCAGACAGAACAAGTACAGATGTTAATAAAATTCACCGGGAATGAAAAAAAAACTGAGGAAGTTTAGTGGGAGCCAAATTAATTTTTTCTTTGTCCAACTTTCCTATTGTCTGTTTCCACCACTGCTGAAAACCCACAGCATCCTGAGTAATATGAAATTACTATGGCAATACCACAGCACATTCTCTCAGGTGACAGGAGTGTAATAATAACCCATGTTAAACAGACCACATTCTATTACCTGATCTCGCCACGACTGGGGTAATATATGGTTGTCACTCTATACATTACTGTGAAAGGCTACCCAGTTTGTGCCAGGGCAAACAAAGCATTATTGTGCTCTGGTATTAGAGCATTTAGTAGTATGACTTGGGAAAAATATACTTTTTTACCATCCTTATAGGCTTTACAAATGACACTTCGAGTGGAAAACAGTGGAAAAACAACATGCAAGGAAACATTGACTCCACTAATGATAATCTCACCTCCGCATGTAGGACCAGTTCTCAAAGGGGAGAAGGGTGTTTGGAGGATGGTGGCTCTAAGAAAGACTTGGGCACACTTCATAAACCCCTGAACTGGAGTTCGCAGTACATTAACTCACAATACCTCTGTTTAGCACTGCTGTTCCTACAGACCTTCCAGTCCTACATCCAAATTTCACAATAGATGTTGAAAAACTAGAGGAGAGCATTAAAGTGATTAAAGGATGGAAAAGCTTGCAGTGAAACAGGTTGAGATCCTAGAGGTTTTCACCGTACTGTAAGTTTATCCATAAGAGGGAACAGCCTTTGGAGATTATGCTACCACAATTATCAAAGACTAGACCCAGAAAGGACTTGTCCCCGGCTACCTATACAAGAAACAAAAATTGGCCAGCCGGGGGAATTTCACACTAACCATGAAAAGACAACAAAATCAGATGGCTGAATGTTAAAGCTAGCCCACATCAGACTGAAAATGAGGTAAAATATTTTTAGAGGAATGGTATTTAATTGCCAGGACACTTATAAAAGTTCTGGTGAATTTTCCACCATTGGACTTCTACATGTTTGGGGTTTTTTTCAAGATTGGAAGTTTTCTATAAGATAAGCTCTACTTCAAGTCATGTAATTATCTCTGAAAAAATCGGGCAAGTCCAACGTTGTTATTGCAACAATCACTTGGTTTTGAAAATTGCAAGGGCCAGGAATTAAACTGTCATTGGGGTATTCATAAGTGAAACACCTTAATCCTGTTGTTTTTCTAGTTTCGATTGCAACTGTTTTCTTTAGTTTCTGCATTTGCACTAAATATATAATTGCTATATTTTCCAGTTCGGGTATTTGCTACAATGCAAAATAGACGTCAGAAAACTGGCTTAAACTGCTACCTGCAAATTTGCTATCAAAACAAAACTTATAGGAGTGCGTTTTTTAATTTCACTGAAATTTTCACAAATTAGAGGAAACACTGGTGCAAGTTAGATATATTTAACAAAGTGTCATGTGAGAGAAGTACAAATAAAATAACTAAATGAAACTTTTACTTCAAGGGTTATTTCTGTCATTATGAACTTGATTAAATGTCTTAAGAATAGGAAAGATAGGAAAGAAAGGATAGTTGGATGTGCTTTAGAAGGAAACATGCCATATATTTTTAGATGAAGTAATCCAAAAAGCATATTACTGATATAATTCAATAACTTTATAACAATATACACAGGAGTAATGAGCTTAAAATATCTCATGTGGTAAAATACAAACATTTATCACTAAGTCCATTACACATATTTTACAAAATCAACATACATTTGTAGCAGCTTCTCCTTTACGTTCACTTGTACAATTACTTAAACAACTGTGTCTATACCTTAAGGGGCCAGTTCTGGTTCTATTCAAATAAAATTACCATTGGAACAGAAACAAATTAAACAAGCAAAGACACTGCGGGCCTCACACTGTATTTACCTACCCAATGCCTGAGCCAGGTTCTGTGTGGTGCTTTAGCTTAGAAGGGACTAAGCTCAGCAGAACCCCCCTCACCACAGAACTGCCAAGAAACTGCCTTGAGGCTGAAACCAAGCCAAATTATAAATGTACTTTAGGATTTTTTGTTACGAACACAATCACCATCAACATCCTCATCACCAAAAGCAACAAAAATACCATAGCTGTAAAGTGCCTCCCAGTTCTGCAACACAAGCACTCTCAATAGGATTGAGAAAGTCCACTTTTTGCACCTTGTCTTACTCAACAGATGATCGCTCTGTTGACAAAAGTGGCAGATTTAGGATCTGGAATATTATTAGCTACATTATAATTAAAAAGATCCTCAAGATCTGGCCCCACTCAAACATAAGCACAACAGAAATAGTTAAACAGAAGTTACAAGTTCAAACTAAGAAACCAGAAAACTTCATTGTAACTTTAAAAAGCCTTTAAATCAGATGAGCTTAGCTCAGTATGGTGGCCATGAGTCCAGCAGACAATTCTTCTCTTTTTCTTTTTCTTTTTTTTTTTTTTTTTCATTTTCATTGGCATTATTTTAAAGGAAGTAAATTAAAAAAAAAATACCTCAAACACCTTACCTCATTTAGCTGCAGATTCTGGAGTGGAAATCCTTAACTGAGGCAATGGGAAAGCTGTCTACAGAGCAGTAGGTTGGGTAAGCACAGGTACTAGGTTATGTCAACTAAAGACTCCCAGGAGTGAAGATAAATGGATGTGATACTAATTTTAAAACATTTTGCTGAACACCCAGGCAGCCAATAGGGGAATTCCTTAGGTCACTTCCTGTTCGTTTGATTGGAGCTGCAACGACAACAACCAAGATGAGGTTGAGAGCGTTTGCATAAGGCCAGCTCAGTCCTAGGCATTCAAAGAGAACAGGTCTAACCGGGTTACACGCGTGGCTCCAGAACAAAAGAAAAACCTGGTAATGGATGAGAGATTGATTTCTTTGTAGTTGTTTTTTTAAGACCATCCCTTTTTTTTTTTTTTTTTTTTTTTTTATAATGGAGGTTATTTCAGGTAGATAGGGAGATCATAATTAGGATGGGGAAAAATGAAAAGCAGGAATGTCCTAAATGAAATTTAGTCTGGAAATTGCATTAGGAGATGCATGGTGTGGAATAACCCTGTGCTGGTAGGGAGGTGAACTAAGTGAGCCCATATGGTGGGCTCAATTCTTTCTTTTATACCTTGAGAATTCGGAAAAATGTGTGACTGCAGAAGGGAGAGTTTATTGGTCTTTCAGCTTCTCTGAGTATTTGAGAGAAAGTAGAAAACAGAATGAGGAAAAAAATCATCAGTGTGTGTATATGGAGTTGAGTACAAAAGTTCATCCACACGCACATTAGCAGGACAGAGAATCAGCAGATGTGCGTAGTCCAAAGCATCCTTGCCCATGTGTGACTTATCCCTCCAGACTGCAACCATGAACTTGAGAAGAAAATGAGGAAAAATGAAAATATGAAGCCTCATCTGTTTCTCATTATTCCACTAGTCAGAAAAGGCACCTAACATGGAAACAGTTAAAAATGCAACAACATAGGAAGGTTCTGAGGTTCCATTAATTTGTATGCCTAAAACACAAGAAGTGCAAAATAATACTATACAGTAACTGTTCAGCGGTCTGTGTGAAGTAAATTTTTTAGTCTTTGCTCATTTTTGGTCCCAAGTTTCATCATAAATTTCCCCCCGACAGATGCTGACAAGTGTTCTCAGTGGTAGATTTACCAAACACAGGGAATGAATTGTCCTTCAACATCCAGAGATACTATTAATTATTAATCAAGGCTCATTGTCGATGTAGGGAAAATATTTCACAAATATTATTTATGCTAAACCTGATTTCAAGATAAATAATGGATCTCAGACTCAAGGAATGTCACCTTTGTTCCTATCATCCACACTACCAACTAAAAACTAAGTTCCTTTTGTTCACATAGATAAGGTGCACCTGTGCACAAATGTTGCTTGGGAAGATTCAATTATTTTTCACCCAGGCTGCAGTCAAGTTCCATAGCTTCTTGCATTGATTCCTACCTATCAAAAAAAGTTTTCCTTGAGGAAGAAGGAAGATATAAATGTACATCTTGGAGAGCAGTATTGTCTTGTAGGGTTAAGCTTGTCACTGCAAAATAGGTACCTATTTGGAGTTTTGATAAGTAGACCTGGCACCTATAAGATATCTCTAAGCGTTCATGTCACTGAGTCTAAGTATTTGCACACTAGTTCGTGTCTTGTTGAGTATTTATAGTAAGACTTTTATCATCAAAATAATGTCTTAGCATCACATCAGCATGAATGGTCAGTCCAGAGCAGGAGAATAGGGAAAAGCTAGGAAGTAAGCAAAGAACTAGAATGCAATGAAGAGCACTTCCCTTCCCATTAAGGATATCTTTAACAAAAAACGCACGTCTTACACTGTCCAACTGAGTAAACATGGGGAATTAATAAGTCACATTGAAATACATCTTGTTCATATGTTGCAGAGGAACCACAGGAGGATGTTAAGGCTGGATCCCAGCACAGACAGGGAAATCAGAATTTTCCTACTGCTAAAAAGGACACCAGCAAAAGCAGAGGAAAATTCATTCAAGTATGGTGCTGAGATTGGTATGTCACTTTCTGTTTGTGTGACTGTTGGGCCCTTTCTGTTTCAGCTCCTAAGGGCAGAGACAGCTCTGGTTGCTAAGACGCAGATACTTCCAGACAGACAAAAAAGCACATTGTACCAACAGGTTTGGACAAGGTGAAGCTAGCTTGGTCGGCACACCAGCATGCATTATTTATTACTGTGCTATTTTCAAAGGCTGGGTGCCACACAGGGTGGTGGCTCCCTAAATTCACTGCCCTGCCTGGCCAACTATGCTGCCCCCATGCTCCCAAGTATGCTTATTGATACTTACATGTGGTTCAGCACAGAGAGGATTACTGGTGGCTTTCGGAGACAGGCAGACCTTTCTCTCTGCATATCCTTTTTCAGCACTGCAGCCACAATATTAACATGAATTTAGTCCCCACACAACTCCAGGTGGCAGAGAAAACATTAAAAACATTGTAACTAGGAATGAGAAGGCCTCATTCACAGTATGGCAGAAGTGTCAGTGCAGATTCCCAGAATTAATTTAATTATAGCCATCAAGCATCAAGGAAATTACCTAAATCTGTCTAGATTCTTAAATTGGCGTCTGTAACTATAATGTCTGACACCTGATGAAAACAAAGAACAAATGTATGATAATTTCTACTTTTTCATTAATATTAATCTCAGTTTCATTTGTAAAATTCCAGTGGAATACCAAAAGATGAGTATAAGAAGCTGATATGTAGTTAGACGAGTCAAGCAATTTGAAAATTCGGTGTATGATATTCCTGCCTTCATTCTGCAGCAAAATCAGAAGTGATTCATAAACTTTGATGTAAAATAATACACTTTCGGTAGAAACATCACTAGAGAAGCCAAAAGGAATAGTACAGATGCTATTTTCAATCTTTTTTCTGTGTTATAGGCAAGCACCACCTATTACTAATGTTGCCCATTACATAGGCTTGCAGAACCTTGTAATATTTTCTTCACAGTTTGCCGTATTTTTGCCCTTAGCTGCTGGGCCAAACTAAAATAGTATATAACAATAAATAATAATAGTATATGTTTTTCCAACAAATTCAAAAAGACGAGAACAAAATGCTGTTCCTTGTATTCATAGTAAGAAATGTTACTGTCTTCTCCTGGGAAAGCTCAGGAAGATCTGTTTTAAAGAAGGACTGATTACGATGGGCTGTCAAGTTAAGGGTGTACTATGTACTATTCCAAATAAAATCCAACCAAAATTAACCAGTTTAAAGCTCATTTGCAAACCACAGAATCACAGAATCAGTCAGGTTGGAAGGGACCACAGTGGGTCATCTGGTCCAGCCTCTTCTCAAACAGAGTCATCCTCGAGCACATTGCACAGGATTGTGTCATGACACTTCTTGAATAACTCCAGTAAAGGAGACTCCCCAACCTCTCCGGTCAATCTGTTCCAGCTCTCAGTCACCCGCACAGTAAAGAAGTTCATCATATTCAGGTGGAACTTCCTGTGCAAGTTTCTACCCACTGCCTCTTGTCCTATTATTTGGCACTACTGAGAAGAAACTGCCTCCATCCCCTTGACACCTTTGCTTCAGATATTTATAGACATTAATAAGATCCCCTCTCAGTCTCTTCTGCAGGTTGAACAGGCCCAACTCCCTCAGCCTTTCTTCATAAGAGAGGTGCTCCAATCCCCCACTTATCTTTGTATCCATACGTGGGACTCGCTCCAGGAGATCCATGTCTCTCTTGTTCTGAGGAGCCCAGAGCTGGGCACAGCACTCCAGGCAAGGCCTCATTAGGGCTGACTAGAGGGGTAGGATCGTCTCTTTCGACCTGCTGGCAATGCTCTTCCTAATGCACCCCAGGATACCATTGGCCTTCTTGGCCACAAGGCCACCCTGCTGTCTCGTGGACAGCTTGTTTTCCACCAGGACCCCAAGGTCCTTCTCCACATGGAATTATTCCTCCCCATGTGCAGGACCCTGCGTTTGCCTTTGTTGAATTTCTATTCTCTGCCCACTGCTCCAACCTGTCAAGGTCCTCCTGAAGGACTGCACAGCACCCCAGGGTATCAGCCACTCCTTCCAGCTTTGTGTCATCAGTGAATTTGCTGAAGAGGCATCTGTCCCTTCATTTAAATTAGTGATGAATAAGGTAAATGATACTGGACCCAGTACTGAAACCTGGGGGACACCACTAGTGACAGGCCTCCAACTAGACCCTGTGTCACTGATCACAACACTCTGGGACCTGCCATTCAGTCAGTTCTCAATCCACCTCAGTGCTCACTCCTCCAGTCTGTACTTTCTCAGTTGGCCTATGAGGATATCATGAGATGGTGTTGAAGGCCTTGCTGAAGTTCAGGTAGACAATATCCCCTGTTCTCCCATCAAATCATGGTCCGCACAATGGATCCCATGATGAGGAGCTTTCTTATGCAGCGAGTGATATACATTTCCTGGCTTCATATGACTTTTCTAGCAGCTAACAAAGGCTACTTCTGTGCCTTCACCAACCTGAAAAAGCAAATTTTCCAGTGAGTTCCCTACTTGGTCTAGCAGCTACTCTCAGTAAAGCTGGCAGAGGTCTGTAGAGGTTTCATTCACAGGCTTAACCCACAGGATACCCAGTGCTGAAACACCTACCTTTGAACATCACTTATTCAAAAGCTAGAAACTGTACACAGAAAACACAACTAAAAGAACATTATTAACATTGTGACAGGTTAGGAGGTACAGTACTTAAGACCCAGACAGGAGGGTACTCATTCAAAGAGAAGCTAGCCAATACTATGCATACAGGGAGTGGCCCTGAGCTGTATTTGCTGCACATGAATCAAACTTGAGCTGAAAACTTCTGTTCATTTCCTCATGAGTTTTCTTATGGTGTTCATCCTCATGGTATTTAAGGTATTATAGCAACACATGTATTTATAATGTAAATAAACATTTAATATAGGTACATTAGTGTTTTACATTATAATAATGCATTAGCACTAATATTACAGTATTAACACAAAAGCATTTATTGATCTCCATGTTTCCCTAGTGGGGTAAGAAGGTAATAATTTATTGTCCCTCTTTTAATGGGGAATCCTAAAAAGATCAAGACAAAT